ATTCATTCCTATTGACAGTGCACAACGGTTCCCTTTTCTCCACATCTTTGCCAACATTTGTTATCTCTTGTCTTTTATATGATTGTCATTCTAACAGGTGTGAGATGACATTTCATGTGGTTTTGCTTTGCATTTCCCTGATGATTTGTGATGTTGAACATCTTTTAATGTACCTGTTGGCCATCTGGGATGTCTTCTTTAGACGAATATCTATTCAGCTCCTCTGCCCATTTTTTAATCAGAATGTTTTCTTTGTTTGCTATGGAGCTGTATAACTTCCTCATATATTTTGGATATTAATCCTTTATTAAATATATGATTTGGAAATATTTCTCCCATTCATTAGGACCCTTTTAATTGTGTTGATGGTTTTCTTCGCTGAGCAGCAGCTTTTTAGCTTGATGTACTCCCACTTGCTTATTTTTGCTTTTGTTGCCTTTGGTTACCAACATTTTTATCTTCTTTAGGTCTTTCAGAAGTCATCACTTCGTATTGAGGAAAATGAGATATATGATATTATGTTAGCTACTAAAGGCCTCTACAGGAGACTGAATATATAACTTAAAACCCCTCTAGAGCCATAAATGGTGAGTTGAGCTAGCACAACTTACTTTGATTCTCCTCCTTTTCCTGTTGCTAATACCTGACCCGTCAAACCCACGACTGAGAAATATGGTCAATCAGAAACTTCATTTTGCCCTTCTACTACCTGGAGTCTGTTCAGTTTAAATTTTAGATAACAAAGTTCAATGATTTAAGACAAAATCTGCATAAGTGAAATGGCAATGCAGTGAATGACTTTGTCTCTGTTAGTCATACAAAGCAAGCAGTTCATATCTTTTTGGTAGATATGAATATGAATATGTCTTAAACAGTAATCTTATGATGAATAGTGATAGTCTAGGAATTGGGAGTTCTGTTTCTTATACTGAGTACTTGTGTTCCCCCACCTCCTCAAAGAAGGCATAGAAAAAGAGTTCATGTTATTAGATTAAAATACAAGGGAAAAAAGTCCAAGTTTTTCCTTCATAACTTTACTTTTTGGCCTCTGCCTCCACTGTTTTATGCTAAAATTTAGTAAAAGATGACATCTGATTTATACATTTAATTATTTTAAGCTTCATTTAGCGATACGTCATGTTCTTCAAAAATTACCCTAACTTCTCAGTGGTGTGCTTTAAGAACCAGCTTGTGGATCTCTGCTGTAATAGTTATGCTACTTCTATTAAGCCACTTTATTTTCCATACTGTTTAGTTGAGGTTGACAACAGTGGACTATATTAACAAGGAATTAAAATGCTTTCTTTTTCAAAAACAGCCACTAATATTGCAGATCACATTAAAACCTCTGTTAGTATTTACCTTGTTTATACCTTTACTCTGCTATCCAAAATAAGTTGTATCTCTGTATAGGCACCGTCTATATTAAAAACCAAGCTCATAATAACTAATTTAATGCCTGGATTCCTTTTGAACAATTGAGATAGTATCACCATTTAATTAAAATACATATACCTAAACTAGACTCCTTATCATTAAAAAACTTCATGAAAGACATGTTTGTAATGGGGAATAAACAACAATAATTGTTCTGATTGCTAAATTGTTCTTTGCCACAGCAAAACAGAAGTGATGAATTACATGTAAGACTGAAAATGGTAATTTTCCCAGTTCAAGAAATGTAACCATACATCTGATTTCCACAACACTTCCCAATAAAGAGAACAGCACGAGTACTACTGCAGCCAGTTTAAATATTTGTTTTAATCATGACAAGATCATTGGTTTTAAAATATATAAGTTCAATGCTTAGTGCATGTTGCTCATATAATCTAATTTTCCTGGTGACATAGTATAACTATGCTTTAATTTCAGCAATGGCAAGAACTCAGAAACACTTTAGGATATCATTAGTAATGGAAAACAAACCTGCTACCTGTTCATACACCTTGTGTACATAACTCATTTCAACTTCAAAGATGTTTAACTACCAGACACGATCCACTCGATTTGGACAGTTACACAGAATATTATCAAGGAGTGGCCAGCTACTTTAAATTAAGGATACATAAAGCAATTAAAGTTGAAATATTCTACCCTTGTGCAATATTTGTAAATGGCATTTTGGAAAATTTCAAGACAGTCTAAGCTGATGAGAACCAAACCACAAAACTGCTATAAAATGCCATTGTCTTTCTTCCCAGCCTCCTATCACTAGTTAGCAGTTGCCTGAATTGCAATTTTCTGTTTTTTAGATGTCACAGCATAAGTACTTTATGACTAAAAGGATAAAAACCCCAGTGTCATGTTCCACTAATCATTAACTACAAAATAACAAACTGAATAACTGCAGGTGCCTTGCTCTTAACAGCCCCAACGTTTACCAGGGCTCATCTGCACTTTCCCAGGGACAGGCTGAAGAAACTGGAAGAAAAAAGGCTGAAAGCTAAATAGCTGATGGCATTCCACAAGAGTGTACAACAAACAAATGCTACCAAACAATATTCCAAATGCCAAGAGAAGTATTCATCATTAAATAATTGCATTATTTTATGTTAATATAAGAAAAGGTCATAATTGTGAATGAATATGTCCTAAAGTGCCTGTGGAGAAAGTAAAAAGAATAACCTGAGGTTCCATTAGAAGCCAATTGAGGAATAGCTGACATATTCGTCACACCCTTATTGCTATGCCATTACCACGACTGAGAGTTACAACTTGAATGGGATTGTTGTCATGTTTATTTTCAACATGATCTAACATTAGAATAACAAAAATTCATGAAAAAAATAAGTAGGCTCATTACTAAAATATCTCCCACCAAACTCAGGAAGAGAGGGAAATCTCCCTGGAGTAATAAAACAGCTACAAAAGAAGATAGTTCGCAGTGAATATAGGAAATGCCACTTGGTATTCACAATAATAAGCATTGCTACTTAATAGAATTCAGGGTGCACACCAGATTTTTCAGACATCTGAGTAATTTTTATCTGCATGTTACAGCTCTGTGTGGATCTCATCTGAGGGTGGTCCGCTGCTTAGCCATTCTAGAGAAGTTTGAAAGTCATTCTTTGTTCCCTTATATGGGGATTAACTTCTTCACCACAAGCATGGGCAAATACACAACTCTCTCTCTCTCCCTGAAAATGATGGGATGCTGAAGCCTCTGGAGTGGACCTTCTCCATAGGAAAAGCACAATGACAAACAAACACAGGGGATACATACAGCAGAGCACACATCTGCTTTAACCTTGTAACCAGCACACAGTTAAAATGTTTCTTTGGGACATTATCCAAAGAATTAAGACGTAGAGTAATTTAAATATTTGGACCACAGTAAACAGGTTTTTTTTTTGTCAATATTAATCATGATCCTATAAGCAAAGATTTTCTTTACATAAAAAATCAACCAAATGTGCTTATCTCCTGTAACAGATGGTGACGATATATACTGTTCCTATTCCCTGTTCATTATCATAGTCTGTCCAGACTTCTTTTTCTTATTCTTAGGATTCTCTTGTTTTTCCACTTCTAATAGTTCCCAATACCCTATGCCCTATTCATTTGTTCACAAATGGCTACTGAACATCTTTAAAGCTAAGGCATGATGCTAGGTACTATATGCAATGCTCAGCAAAATATCTCTTTAAATATTGCCACTCCCTTCCTTTCCATTTTTTCCCTCTAATAAATAGTGGTAATCATTTTTGATGGAGAGCTCTCTATAATTTGCATTCACTTAATCATATCTTATTTCATAAAGTGACAAAATATAAAAATTTGTAAAATAGACTGATCAATTTATATATTGATTTCTTTCCTTGGTGAGATACTTTTACTAAGTGTTTAATTCAATGATGATAAGAAATACAAATGTATCTATATTATCATCAAAATTATGATGTAAATGCTTTAGAGGAAGCTTAGGATTATTTTATAAATCTACTAGTGGCCTGGTGCACGAAATTCATGCACGAAGAAGGGGTTCCTTCAGCTCAGCCTGCACCCTCTCCAACCGGGAACTGCTTGGGGGATGTTTGACTGCAGTTGGACATCCCTTTTGCAACCTGGGACCACTGGCTCCTAACCATTCCCCTGCCTGTCTGCCTGATCACCCCTAACTGCCTCTGCCAGCCTGATCTTGCCCCTAACTGCCCTCCCCTGCCAGCCAATTTGGTTCTGATTGGCTGGTTTCTATGTCAGTCAGCATCAAAAGCTCCACCTCTTAGGCAGCCATTGGCTCCTCACAGTTCACCCAGATTTGGTTCTGATTGTTCGGTTTCTATGCCAGTCAAAATCTCCAGGCCTATCTCCAGGCCTGATCAGAGAGTGAGGCTTATTAGCAGTCCTGCAGAAGCCCAGAGAGAAACAGAGGTGCAGCTGCTGGTGAAGCCTGGAGAGAAAAAGAGAGGCATGGGCTGATCAGCAGCAGCATGGAGGCTACAGATCAGACCTTGCCTCTCTCTTGGGGCCTCTCTCTGGGCCTGATCTGCAGGCTCCTCAGCAGTCAGTGCTGGGTCACTGTGCCCATACTAATGGCAGTCCAGTGCTAGGTCTCCATCGCAACCCCGCACTGAGTGCAGGACTTACTTCTGATTGGTCTTCGGTTGGTCATTACGGACCCTGGGTTTTCATATATTAGGATAAATCCTTGAACACAATAACAATAATGGATATTCTGAAGGAAAAATCCAATTCCATGAATATAATAAAGGAAAAAGTTTGTTGATAATTTCTGTGAAGAATATAGCTCATCTATGCATCTACTCTAAAGGAATGGGAATTCTCTAAGTCATATGTGGACATCACCCTCATCACTACTTGGTTATATCACTTCTATGTGACTCATACACAGTTTTTGGCATTTACATAGTGAAATAGGCGGTCTTAAATCTGATGTGAGGGAGATAAAATGAAGATGTCCTCTTTAAAAGCATACAGCATTTCTTGCTGGGAACATCAGAGATCATGCACAGAATGAGCACATCTATAATACTCACCTTGGTAGGCTTCCAGCTAACTCTGTGGTTGTCTCTCTAGAAGGGAAAAAAGAAGATACGTATGAAAAGCTTATTTTGTTAAGTTCTAAAAATGGGTTTAATAAAATCATAATATAATGATCCAAGGCATAACAGTATTATATATGTGCAAAAGATACTATATATGCAGCTGTTCTGGAATTCAATATTGATTAATCACATTTCTGCTTAATTCCCATAAATGTTTCAATGGTTATTTTCAAAGGAAATTTTACACACATGCAAAATATCTGCCTCTGCTTCCTGGTGGTAGAACTTAATTCAGTTTAAAATAATAAAATTTAAAAATGTACAACATATTGCTGGGACTGGTTTGGCTCAATGGATAGAGCACATGTGTCAAACACAAGGCCCGGGGGCCAAATCCGTCCCGCCAGGCCTTGCAATGTGGCCTGCACCGCGCTGTCATCACTGCACTCCGCTGCGTTTCCATCACAATGACAGTTTATGACTGTTCAGTAAACCATTCGGCCCGCGATTTAGGCTGGATTTTAGATTTTGGCCCCTTCTCTGATTGAGTTCAACACCCCTAGGATAGAGCGTCGGCTTGGGGACTGAAGGTTCGATTCCAGTCAAGGGCATGTACCTTGGTTGCGGGCATATCCCCGGTAGGGGGTGTGCAGGAGGCAGCTGATCGATGACTCTCTCATCGATGTTTCTAACGCTCTATCTCTCTCACTTCCTCTCTGTATAAAAAAATCAATAAAATATATATATAAAAAATGTACAACATATAGAAGGAAACAGGAGGAAGAAAATCCTAAACTACGTTTTTAGATATTTTTCAGTTAAACAAATCATCTGTCTTCTCTTTCCAAGAATCATTTAGGAACATGTTCTTTTAAGGTTGTGTCTTTGTGTTGATGCTGTCACCTGAGGTTTATGAAAGAATACATACAGCACAAAACCCAATTCGTTTGGTAGCAAATTACTGCTCTTCACGTCTTTGTTCCAATGTCTTACCAGTTGGAATTACTGAAAGCAGATTCTATGATAACTCAAATGGCACAAAAGACAAGTCACTAGACCAGACACAAATTTAAAAACTAAATTTTTCCTAATTGCAATATCTTGTCCTCCTATCAGAGATGTGCTCTTAAGAACAATGTGAAGTTATGATGAGGAGAGCTTGATGTTGAGATATTTTAAAAGTGGAGGGTGGCTCAACTTTAGATGGAGGGATTGAAAGTGTAATTTTCAGGGCTTCTGGATTGAACTTGGAGACTGCTATGCTTGGAGAGAGCATGGAAGCTTCATATACCTTGTCCTAGGCATCTCTTCCACTGTTTCTGAGTTCTGTCCTTCATAATAAACTAGCAATCTGGTGTGAATCATGTGACCCAGTGACAGATAGTGATTTCCTGCTTTGGTCGGGCATAGATGTATATGATTAAGGGATGCCTTTCGTCAAGAGACCTCTAGGTAAAACAAAAGGATAAAACTCAGATTTCAAAGGGAAGAATATAACTTTGGCTACTCTCCAGACACTTCTTTTCAAGCAATAGAGTCTAACACTTTTGTTTTACTTTTTCAATGAGATTTCTATTAAAAAGGTACAATCGCCTGATGGTGTTACTCCATTTTCATATTCCATGGAGATCTAGATCTTGATTTGGAAGTTTTTAAAATATATATATATATATTTTATTGATATTTTAGAGAGGAAGAGAGAGGGATAGAGAGTCAGAAACATCAATGAGAGAGAATCACCAATCAGCAGCCTCTTGCACACCCCCCACTGGGGATGTGCCCGCAACCAAGGCACATACCCTTGACTGGAATTGAACCCGGGACCTTTCAGTCCATAGGCTGAGGCTCCATCCACTGAGCCAAACTGGCTTTGGCTTGATTTGGAAGTTTTTGATAACATGTTCAGTGTATGCCTTATCAACATTATCAACGAAGGTCATCCTGGTGTCTTCCCTGAACACCCTTCCCAACTGCCCCAATCCATGAATAGTTATTCTAATTGTCCATTCCACCAGATGTCCTCAAAACTAACAGACAGAAAAGGGAGATAAATGGCTAATGAGTTACCACCACTTTTTGCCCCCTCTCCAGTGATGGGCTGTTGCTAGCTTCTACTTCCTGCTCCAGCCCCAAGATTTTCTCTGAAAGCAGTTCAACACATATCATGTTTAATATCATGTTTACCTCCTACATACTGTTTTTTTCATCTCTCTCTCTCTCTCTCTCTCTCTCTCTCTCTCTCTCTCTGTGTGTGTGTGTGTGTGTGTGTGTGTGTGTGTGTGTGTTGAGAGAGAGTTATGTCATATGGTGCTTGAAAACATAATAAAATTACAACTGAAATTTAGTTGTAGTTTTGATACTTTTAAGTTATCTTTGAATAGAGGCTGCTACTCTGAACATGATGCAAAGTACAGAAGAAATCAAAGAAAGAGCTACCATCTTTGAGGACAGTTTTTAAGAGGTACACTTAAACATTATAAAGGAGATATAGGGAGGGAGGGAGAGTTGGAAAGAGGAGAAAATGGGAAAGGAGAATAAAGAGAAGAGATAGGCTATATATTCCATGGAGTTAAGGCCTTCTGGAAATATTAAGATTCAAAATAAAGTTGACATTTACTCTTCTTATAAAAACCTTCTTAGAAGAAAGCAACAATGAAAGGTCTTCTAAAAGTCATTTTTTGCAAACAATAAAATATGGAAGGAGCAATTCTCTATATAATCTTTATAGTCATACAGAGTCCCAGGGTTTAGAAAGGGAATTTGCTCTCATCTAGGAATTAAAGCTTTAGCACTAGGCAGCTGAGAGTAGGGATTTTCTTCACTTTCTATGGACAGCTCTCTTTAAATATTATTGGCAATTTAATGTTCATATTCATTTTCAATATCCAAATATCGTTTTGAATTATATAGTAATCCATTTTTTTGGGAAAATTTTGGAAAATAGAGTAAAACCCAAAATAAAAATATCCTGTAATTATATAAGATAGAAAGAATTTCAGCTTATTATAGTTCAGTATTTATATGTGCTTATGTCTATATGTATTTTTATATAAGTGGAATCACACTGTGGACAATTTTGAATTTTTCTTCCTATAACAAAAAAAAATGATATTTGATGGTTGTATTGTCAAAAAAAGTATAATTCTTAGAAACAATAATATAGCCACTTCTTTGGGTCATTTGATTTCTTTAAAAGTCTCATTAAAAATATAAACACACTAGAAGCCCAGTGCATGAAATTCCTACATGGGGGGTGTCCTCAGCCCAGCCTGCACCCTCTCCAATCTGGGACCCTTTGAGGGATGTTCTACTGCCCAGTCGGACATTCCTCTCACAATCCAGGACTGCTGGCTCCCAACTGCTCACCTGCCTGCCTTCCTGATTGCCCCTCACCACTTCTGCCTGCCAGCCTGATCACACCCTAACCACTCCCCTGCCAGCCTGATTGATGCCTAACTGCTCCCCTGCCAGCTTGTTTGCCCCTAACTACCCTCCTCTGCAGGCCTGGTCACACCTACCTGCCCTCATCTGCAGGCCTGGTTACCCCTAATTGCCCTTCCCTAAAGGCCTGGTCACCCCCAACTTCCCTCCCCTGCTGGCACTGCTTGTGGTGGCCATCTTGTGTCCACATAGGGGAAGGATCTTTGACCACATGAGGGCAGCCATCTTGTGCATTGGAGTGATGGTCAATCTGCATATTTCTTTTATTATTGTAGATATGATTATCTAAGGGAAAAAAACCCAACATACCCATTCATAAACACACAAAATGTGGTATACAAATATAGATGGTTTATGAACCTCCCCAAGCAAATATGCCAGCCATGGGTCAGGAATATCAACTTTAAACTCACATTATCTTTACTAATCTTGTCAATTCAAATAAAGGACCTCCTTAATGAACTGTCTGGGGCCCTCCTAGCTTCTAGAACTTTCTCCTACTTTCTGTTTGTGATAGCACCTGGGTATTGTAGGGATGTTCTAGTTCCTGTAGAGCCATCCTACCTTAAATAAATAAGTGATTCTTAGTTCAGTTCCTATAGAATTGTTCCTTCCTAAATAATCATACAATATTAAACCTTCAGCTTTTATTGATATAGAAACTGCCTTTTGAGAGAAAGCATTCATTCAGCAAAAACCACAGTTGAAAGCTTTCTCCACTGCAATGCCGGATGTTTCACCTGCATTCATCTCTTCTAAGAATCCAGTGCCTGCTTAAGGCAAGAATTGTGGACACCTCAGCTACAGAGACACTCCTCCTTTTTGTCTGCCTTTATGAGATTTATCACAACAGAAGTATCTTTTAAATTTCATTAGTTCTCATTTTGTAACTTGAGACCAACATCTATACTAATAAAAGGGTAATATGCTAATTAGATCAAGAGCTTTTCAGGAGACCTTCAGGACAAAGCCACGCTGGCAGGGCCAAGGCAGAGGCAGTAAGGAGCAATCAGGCCAGGAGGGGAGGGAAGTTGGGGGTGAAAGGGTCAGCAGGGAGAGCCAGTTTGGGGCAAGCAGACTGGCAGGGGACAGTTGGGGGCAAAAAGGCCGGCAGCAAAGGGCAGTTGGGGGTGATCAGGTCAGCAGGGGCGGGGGGTGGAAGTTGGGGGTGATCAGGTCAGCAGGGGCGGGGGGTGGAAGTTGGGGGTGATCAGACCAGCAGGGGGATGGTTGGTGTGAGAATCCCGGAAGGAAGAGTTGTTAGAGATGATAAGGTAGGCAGGCAGGTGAGCAGTTAGGAGCCAGCGGTCCTGCAGTGCGATAGGGATGTCCGACTGCTGGTTTGTGAGAGGGATAAATGGGCAGTTGGACATTCCTCGAGGGGTCCCAGATTGGAGAGGGTGCAAGCTGGGATGAGGAACACCACCCCCTTCTCCCCCCATGCATGAATTTTGTGCACCAGGCCTCTAGTATTTTAATATTATGAGTCTCCTTGGTATCTTTTAAAACTATTTTGGACATGTTATCGTAAGCCCACTTAAATCATTTCTCAACCTCGTACTAGTACTAGACTGACATTTTGGGCC